GAAGCAGTGGGGAAGTGTCCCAGGTCCCTTCCTTGACTCCCCTGTCTGCCTGGGAGCCCCCTGAGGGGACAGACTGGGCCCACACTTTAAAGTCTTAAAGGAAACAAGAGCTGAGCAAGTCCCAGTCGCATACAGCAGCACACACCCGTCATCCAGCGGGGTGTCTTTAGTTGCACTGTCCCGGCTGCCTTGATGTCCTGGCTTGATTCAAAATGTTTACTTTTGTGGTCATTTTGACTTCGGGGAAAAGCCAAAAGTCTCTCAGCTACAGATCTGGTGAATAAGGTGGATGAGGAGGGACCGGGATGTTCTTATGAACCCGCCTTTCCTTTGGATGGCACTAAGCAGCAGGATTGCACTTTTGTATGCGCCCGCACTGCTGCAGGACCTTACTGCAGACGTTGCTGAGTACTGACATTGGAGGCTGTCTGACATGCATCTCCCTCACTAGATTCTGAGCAGGTGAGGACATTGTACTTCATGATACCCAGTGCCCAGCACAGCACAGCACCTGGAACTCAACAAGTGTCCTTCGGCCCGGTGACCCTTGCTCCGCTGCTTCCTGGCGGGGTGTTTAAACACACAGGTCACCACCACCATGCAGTCAGCAGCGGGAGTGGGTGGAGGCACCAATATTACGAGGTGAGTGTGTGTTGACGAATGAGTGTGTGTTGAACAATGAGAGGAAACTGGGCGTTCATGACACTCATGACTCTACTTTGTACGTGCTTAAAATTTTCCTAATAAAGGTGTTTTATAGACACACTGGGCTGGCCTCCTCCCTGGTAGGTGGTGGAGAGCCAGTAGGGTGTCTGGAGAAGTGGGCTGAGGTGGCTGTCACCAGCGGCCCTGGTGGGAGGGTCCCCCAGGCCACTCCCTGCAGCAGAGTCCACGGCGACTCTCCGCTGTCCCTGTGGGTGCCGTCCAGCGGTGGAGAACGTCACACCCCGAGCTCATGCCTCTGTGCTCTCCCTCAGTCTCCCTGCTGCCCCAAGCACCTCAGAGCCTCATCTTCCAATTCAAAAAGCTCCTGAATATCAGGAGCCCCCATCTTCTGAACAGCAGTCCCCGCTTCTCAAACACTCATCCCTGTGGCACTCACACTTGGTCTGCTTCTGGGGGAACCTGGGATGGGTCTAAACTTCAAGGCGCCCCAACCACAGTATCTGGAACAACGCGGGGATCGATCCACGCCAAGATCTTGGTGGCCCCTGGCTGTGTGATGCTCCTAACTTGCTTCTCTCAAAAGGAACACTGATCCCTGCCTCACAGGCCCAGGAAGGAGCCAAGGAGCCAATGAATATAAAGGTGCTATAAATTGCACACTTTTACCCCATGCAGAGCCAGACCCTCATTCTTTCAGGCTCCAATAAACTCCACCTTCTCTGATGCTGGACAGTGACTGGCTATTACTGCAGCTGCCTCCTGAGAACCCAGGAGCCGGAGGGAGAGGCTGTTGGCTAAGTCGTCTCTTTGTCCCCAGTCCCCCTGCACCAGGCCAAGGACAGAGGGAAGGCAGGTGGGGGAGACGGAAAGGAAGTCAAGGGCCTGCTGGGAATCCTGGAGTTCCCAGGGGCCATAAAGCCCAGGAAGGCCACCGTGGGCCCTCAAGTGACAGATGGAGCCGAGGTGTTCAACCTTCTCCAGGCGGCAGGAACTCCAGCGTGAGGACAGGGGTAGGGGCTGTGCTCAGGCAGCTTAGCAAGTCCCTCCGGGGCCTGCTTGGCCTGTGTCCAGGAAAGAACTGGGGTGGGAGGGTTTCATGCTGGACCACCTGTGCCTCTGGCCTCATAACCACCCTGGGTGGCTGCCACAGCCTCCAAAAGGTCTCCCTGATTCACTCTCCCAGCCCAACTGGCCCTAGGGGCTCCCCCAGGCCCTCCAGGTGGTGGCCTCTATGAACTGAACTGCTACCTCCAAGGCATCCTCAGCCACTCACCTGGCCTCGAGGCTTCCTCTTGATCACTCCCCAGGCCCTCTGCTCTGCCAGGAAGGAACTGGCAGTGCCCCATCTCCACTCACTTACCTGTGGTTCATTCATGAACCCAACCCAAAGATCACCTCTGCCTTTGAGTCTCCCACAAATTCTGCAGACAGCCCTCTCACCTCTGCTGTGGCTCCCCCAGGATTTAATCAAACCAGAAGACGGCAGAAACATCCTATTTCACAGAATCCTAACAATACCCCCTTCACCCATTTTACAGATTAAGATACTGAGGTTCAGAGTGGCAAAAGAGCTCACTCAAACTCTTCAGGGTGGAGAGGACTGTGGAAGGTCTCTTCCATCTGCCCCAGAGCCCAACACACAGGGGAAAGGGATCCTTGGCAGAGTAGGGCATGGTTGAGCCCCCAGCCCTGGCAGACTGCCTAATGCCAGGCCGGGTGGTGGCCCAAGGACAAGGATGAGTCCATATTCACTGAGCATGTCCTTGCCATGCCGGGAGGGTCAACTAGGTCCTCAGAGCTGCAGGGGGCAGTGGTGACAGTAGCATCCCCTCTCTCCCTGCAGGATAGGCAGGGATGAGCGGGCAGCTTGGTGCCACCTGCCTTTCCTGCCTCTGGTCCTCTGGTTTGGGCTCCAGCTTCCCCCTCTTGCTGATGCTCTTCACTGGCGCGAGAGAGCCACGCTTCTCCTGCTCCTTCCTTTGCTTGGTCTCCAGGGCCCCCAAGCCTGTCCCAGTTTCCCTCCAGCTTTGAGACTTCCCTTCTAGGTCCCAAACTGCTTCTGTCTCTGTCTTTGTCCACATCCTGTGTTCCCGTCCATCTCTGTCTCTGTGTTACTTTGTCTGTCACTGCTGTTTATTCTTTGCTGTCTCTCTCTCTGCTTCTGTGTCTTTGTCACTGTCAGGCTCTGTCCCTATCTCCTCTGTCCTTGTCTCTGCCACCATCTCTCTGAGTCTCTCTGTGTGTGTGTGCATGTCTGTGTGTGTGTCTGTGTGTGTGTGTGTCTCCTCCCCGTGTCCCCACCCCTGGCCCAGCTGCAGGACTGGCTTCTCAACACGGAGGGGGCGAGGGACCTCCGGGCATCATTCCGGGCCCTCTCTATCTGGGTGGCAGTGCTGACAGACGAGATAGCAATCAGCCTCAGCTTTGTCTGGGCCTGAGCAAGGGGCACAGCCCGGCTACACAGGGGCGTCTGGTGGCGCGAACATTTGCAAGCGTGCACGTCTGGGTTAGCGCACAGGTCTCTCCGCGTGGGGTGGTCTGCCTGTCTGTCTGGGTGTATTTGTGAGCGTCTGGGCCTGTTTACGTCTGTCGGCAAGCATCTGGTCTGTGTGTCTTTGTGTGGTGCTGTCTGGGTTGAGCACCTTTGCCTGTGGCTCTGTCCTTCCGTGGGTGACTGGATAACACGCATGTGTGTCAGTGGCCACAAGCGCGCCTCCCTGCAGGAAACCGAAGTCACTGTGCGTCTGTGTGGCCATCCAGGGGCCAGGGCCTCTGCAGGTATCATCACGCAGGCATGAATGAGGTAAGATCCCATTGCTCCATAGTCCAGGCAGAAAAGGTGAGGTTCTTGGCCTCCCTTGCCAGATGAATGTGCTCGCTGGAAGTTGAGCTCTGGTGTCCAACTGCAGGACCCCAGGTGAGCTGGTAAACCTTGCCTAATCTCCTGAATTCATTCAGCAAACCTGTATTGACTTTTAAAGAATATTTCAAAAAGTGATCCATCCAGGATTTAAGCAGTCACTCTCAGCCCATTCCTATCCCACTCCTCCCTCCACCCTGTCCCAACCTGACAGCAAAGGGCCGAGGGGGAGAGGGACCCCAGTCCTGGGCTGGCTGGTCCCCTTCCCAGTCTTGCCTAGCTGTTACTTCTCAAGAAGGTCACGACTTTCCCTCTGGACTTTCAAATCAGTGGTGCAGAGGGGCACAGCAGGGTGGGGGTGCTGCATGCACCCATCAAGGGTCCAGAGGGAGAAAGGAGGGGCAGAACTTGTTCAGAGCCCAGTGGCAGGCCACGTCTGGATGCACACCTTCCTGCTGTCCACCTGCAAAGTCCCCATGCCATGCCACGTCTGTCACTCAGTATCAAATGCGCTGGGCTGCGGCACGCGCCATCCCCCCATTGAGCCCTTTAACACACCTCACCTTGTCCTCGCTACCTGTCCTGTAAGGGTCACTGCCTTCATCCTACACCTGGGGAAGATGATGCCCAAGCTGATGAAACAACACAGCGTGTGCCGAGGGGATTCCAGCTGCACTCTAAACCTGCGTTCTCTCTGGCTGGGTCTTTTCCCTGGGTTTCTGAGGTTCCCTTGAGGAGTTAATAAAGGAGCCAAACGCATTTGCTGTTGGTTTTTGAATTTTGGTGTCACTAGGAAAACTAGGGCTTAAGCTGCCCTTGGGTGGCAGAGTTTCAGCCTCATAGGGAAAAGTGGTACTTTTTTCAGGAGGCCTCTCTCAGGCCTTCGATGCCTTCTGCCTGATGCCTCCTAGCCCAGCCAGGAGCGGCAAACTTAAATTATTTGTTGTTTCTCCTTGTTCAGTCCACAAAGCTGTGGAAGAGGGGCCAGGCCTTTGGGCCTCGGTCAAAGAAGCATCCACAGGACTTGCTCACTATTTGAATGAATGAATGAATGAATGGTGCTTTGTTCCCAGCGCCCCCCCCCCCAATTTGATCAGACATCACACCTGTTAAGATTCTGTCCTCGAGGGGAGGGACCGGACATCTGGATCAAAACCACCAGTCCAAAGCCTGGCACAGAAAGGGACCCTGGGGACATCGGATATATAAGACCCTGGAATTTATCTCTGGGCTTCAGTAAAACTCTCCACGTCTGGGAATGTCACAGCCAACTCAGGGGCAGCAACACCAAGTAGTCTCGATAAGTGGTTTTATTACTGGTTAGATTTTACAAATTCTGATATTCGAACAGACTTCCACCTTAAAATTCTAAAACAACAAAGCGACCGTTGGAGGGGATATGATTTTTTTTTTTTCCTTTTTTCTTTCTTTTCTTTTTAGGACTATTCAAAGTAACAAACTTTTTTTTTTTTTGCCTTTTGTTTTTTACATTTTTGCTCTGGTCATAAATATACAGAGAGAAAAAGAGGGAGAGAAAAATGAACAAGTCATCCCAAGTATGGATAAAACAGTATTCCTAAGGCACGTGGCAGTCTTTGAAAATACAGAAGCTCTAGCCAACTTAAATTATTTGTTGTTCCTCCTCGCTCAGTCCACAAAACTGTACAGGGACACAAATGTTGTGTTGCGTATAGATCTTCCAAGTAATTCCTCGGTGCACACCGCTGCGTTAGCCAGACACGCAATTATTATTATTTTTTTTCCTCTGTTTCCAGGCGAGATCCTAAATGTGGTTAGTTAGTTGCTCAAAGCCTCTATTTTAAAATACACTTGGAATTCAACTAGAGATAATTTCTTTTTTAAAGAAATCATGGGGGCTGGGGAGCCGCGAGTCATTAGAAAAGGTTGGTAAGAGTCGTTTGTGAGGGGCTGTGGGGTTCGTGGCCCTCCAGGTTGCCAGGCACAGAAGTTAAGACGGACGTCACAGTTGGCAAGGTGGGGCTCGTCAAGTCTGTGAGGGTGGTGGGCGTGCTGGAGGGGCTGAGGGAGGCGTTGGAGAGCTCCGAGGCCGGCCCCGAGGGCGTCCCTGTCTGCAGCGCGGCATCTGTCGTCTTGTCCACACCCGTGTTTTCCTGCCGTAAGAGGTTGCGCCTGAACTTGGCCCGGGCGTTCTGAAACCAGACCTGTGTGGGACGACAGGGAAGGGCTGGTTAGGGGAGGGCGGGCAGGAGGCGTCCCATGCCTGGGCTCCTTCCTTGGGATCTCCGGTTTCTGGGAGATGCTAATCCTCCTTTTGCTACAAAGGTAGGTGGGGGTAGCATTTTGTCCTCACAAATAGGAAATCTTATTTTCATTTTAGAATAAAAATGGTGCAAGGCCCTGGATTCAATACCCAGCACTGTGAAATACAAAACAAAACAAAAAAACCCTCTCGTGGACTAGAACTGGGTTTTTCTTTCTGTTAAGAGGCTCCAGGACTGAGTCGCTGGCCAGGACACTGATATGGAGACCTTGAAATGTCACTAGCTAAATGTGGCCAGGCTAGCTGAGGGCTCACACTTAGCAGGGAAAAAAGAAGGTAGGCTGTCTTAGTCATACGTTTTTATTGATTTCATATCAAAGTGGTATTTTGGACATGCGGGGTTAACAAAAATATATTATTAAAATTAATTTTACAGCATTTTAAAACTTCTTTAATGTGACTATTAAAAATGTAAACATGTTGTGTTTCTATTGGACACACCAAGCTTACACACATATGCATGCACACGCACACACACACCAAATCTTGATTATTTTCTGCAATGGCTGGTTGGGAGATTTTGTCTGTGTTTTTGGTTTTTTGGCAGCCTCCTTTGAACAGACAACAGATCCTACCAGTTCTACGTGGGGTACAGTTTTTTATATGTCAGTCAGTCTGGGAAATACTAAGGTGATATAAAAAACCATGTAGGCGATGGGCGTGCGGCTGGGCGGTAGAGAGTTTGCCTAGCACGCATGTGCAGGACCCTGGGTTTGACCACTAGCGCTGCAAAAAAGAAAAAAAGAAAAATGAAAAAAGATATGACCCTTATTCCCGACCCTCAGTTGGGGAAGGTGCCAAGTGTCCTAGACCATGGGGCAGAGGGAGGCCTCACATCTCTGGGGGAGGCGGGCAGAGCAGGACTGCTGTGGGGTAAAACAAGGCCCAGGAGGCTGTAACGTACACTACCATCCGCCACCACAGCCCAGATCTGCTTATGAGGGAGGCTGGGCAGGACACAGCGGTAGCACTGAGCATCGAAACACCAGAGACGGGATGCGGTTTTGCTGTCATTCTCCCTTGGCCATATCCATACCCGCGCCTTTGCACGCGCACCTGTGCACCTTCAGGAAGACGTCACAGACTCCCCTCCCCAGTCCCCGCAGCTGTCTGAGGGCATAAACACAGAGACTCCGCAGTGCTTTGGAAGAGCCCCAGGAAATCCAGGCCACTGGGACGTAGGGGGGTGTTCCCCCAAAAGCCTGTAAGGCAGGGCCCCTTTACTTCTTTCTGCATGAAAGAAACACCCGCCAGAAGCCTCCCCATGAGAAAGGGCCTTGGGACATTTACAGACTCTAGAGCGCCCAGTTGTGGATTTCCAGAAGCGTCTGCATCTGCTTGTCTTCCCAGTGTCTCAGGCAGGGTTGGGATGGGCCAACGCCAGGCTCCACCCACTCTTCAGGACCACCCGGGCTGCAGGAGCCTGTGTCTCAAGGGCCCCTTTCCGGTGGTCTGCCACAATCTGGGCTCCATCAGAAGCAGGGGGGTGAGTCCTGGTGTGAGGAAGCAGGCGCAGATGCTGTGAAGTGGGGAAATCAAGCTCTCGTTCCAACGCGCTGGGTCTTCCAGGGAGAAAGCACCTTTCCTGGGCTCTCTGCCTGAAGGAAGCCCAGCACCCTTCTGCAGGGTTGCAAGTGAGCAGTGCTTCCAAAACCACCCTCTACGTGCTCTTCTCAGGGTGGGCAGGGAGGTCCTTCCCCATTGGCTGCACTCTACAGGGGCGACACTCTCTGGCCCAAGGAAGTGCTGACAGAGAAGACGGGTGGAGAAAGCCCCCAGAGGCTGTCACTTCCTCAGTCGCAGGCAGGTGGCCCGTGGGAAAAGCTGGAGCCTTGGTACCCACCCAAGCCACCATCCTGGCCTGTGTGCATGTGACCCAGGAGGAGCGGCTGGAGCAGGGAGCCCCGTGGGTGCCATGCTGCCCATCCTTTAAGGGACCAAGGCCTTGGGAAGGCTGGAACCACTCAGCTGCCAGCTGTTGGCTATTTCTTAGGCATCGCCCCTAGCGGTGCATCTGTAAGCAATGCCACCACCTTCTACAACTGCTCTCCCCGCTCTATCAGATCTGAGGGGCTGGGAAACTGGCTGATGGAAATCTAACAACTCAACTAAAAGCAAGGCTGCTGCAGACTTGGTTGGGCTTGCTTTTCCCCGAAGCAGAGCTTCACAATTCTCTCCTAGGCGTCTAGAAAAGTCTCATTCCAAGATGCTGTTAGGGCACAGACCTCTGTCCAAGTCATCTTCACGACCCCAAGGACATGGCAGAGAGGCACACAGATGAAGTCAGTAACATGAGCTGAGTTAATGGCAATGCTGACACGTGTGTGCCTTCTACTGTGTGTCGGGCACCAGGCCACCCAGTGACACATACCATCACAGGTTAACCCCGTGATAAGCTGAGTCGGTGGGCTCTATTATTGGTTCCACTTTAAAGATTTAAAATCCAGAGAAGCTAAGAGAAGTAAAGTTTCTTGCCCGAGGTCACACAGAGGTCCAGCTGTGATTTGAATACAAGACTGTTCACCATAAAAAGTCCACGCCCTCCCTACCACGTGACCCTGAGTAAGTCAGCAAGTGAATGAATGAGGGGACAATGGAAGGAATATACAGAAAAGCAACTGTGAGACAGAGGAAAGAATACTAGATGTATAATTCCAGCACGCAAGGCTAAGGCAGGAGGATCACCGTGAATTCATGGCCAGCCTGGACTATATGGTGGGTTCAAGAGCAGGCTGAAATATATAGTGAGACTTGGTCTCAAAAAACAAACAAAATGAATAAATTTTCAAAAGAACACTGGAGGTACTGTCTAGTCCTAGTTTCCCCACTGACTAGCCAAATGAGCTTAGCCTAGTCGCTTTCCTCTGAGTCTGCCTCAGTTTCCCCACTTACACAGCAAGAGGGCTGGACCATCAGTGCCACACGATCTATGGGTCTTTGGGTGAGGATGGGATTCCAGGGCAGCTGTGGATAACATGGAGATGATCTGCTCTGCCCGCCCATCTTCTTAAACTGAAGCAGCTGTGTGTTTGGCAACTTGGACACAGAAGCATGGGACACAGCTGATGCCTCGGCCGGTGCAGAGCGCATCCCCAGTGAGTCCCGAGTGGGTGCAAAAGAGTCGCTGTGACTCCGTCCCTTCCTCAGGCACCACCAGCCCGCAAGCTGTGTTCTGTTCCGGAACCTCCTTCCCAAGTCACTCCATCAAGAAGCCTGGCCACCCTAGCCCCAGCAATCCCCTGGTGGGACACCGAGGAAATCAGACAAAAGACAAAAGTTTCATGCCCAGGGCTGCCCGCCATGGTGTCTTTTATCACGTCCAACTAAAGGCTGCAGCCCAGGTGCCCAACGAGATGGGGCAAGGGGAGATCAGGTCACAGCCTCTTCCCAAAGCCACAGGGGAAACAAGTATCAATGACGATGGCTACATGAGATAAAGGGAGAAAGTATTATATCCTTGGTATTGCAATTTATACAGAAAACGATGGTGGTGACAACTCTTCCCTCACTACGACTTGGTCTAGCCAGTGATGGCAAACCTACGGCACATGTGCTGGCAGCCAGCTGTTTGTTATCAGTGAAAACTCTAAAAGGTTCACCATCACTGGTAGGGAAAGCTCTGAGCATTTCACCCACATTAGCTCCCTGAGCCTGATAACAAGCCTCCAAGGTAGGCTTTGGGCTTTGGTGTGCAGGTGTGAACACCAGGTTCAGCCAGGGACGGGAGCAGCTGATCACGGGAGCTGGCAGCCTGGGTCCTGACCATGGCCACTGGGTGACTCCTCAACTTCATGCTCGCATGAGTGGGCCCTTGTGCTCTCTTACTTGGGCTTCCCCACTGTTTTTCTAACCTGTTTGATGGTTCTATTACTTGGTGAAAAATGTTAAAAGTTTAAAAAAGTTTCTTTAAAAGTTTAAAGAACTGCCAGGCATGGTGGTGTACACCTGTAATGCCAGCACTTAGGAGGCTGAGGCAGGAGGATCGCTGTGAGCTCAAGGCCAGCCTGAACTGCATAGGGAGACCCTGTCTCAGAAAGACAAAAAAAAAAAAAGTTTAAAGAGCCAAAAATAATGAGCACCTGCCTAGAAATCAGGAAGGCTTGGTTCCTGCCTCAGGAGTATAACAACTTTGCTGTGACACCTTGGGCAAGTCTCTCTACCTCTCTGGGCCTCAGCTTACACTCTCTTAAAATGTGATTCAGTGAAATCACCTGTGAAACTCCTCTCCATGGCTAAATCAGTCCTCACTGTGGTGCTACATAGAGAGCAGGCAGGACGATGACCACTTTATAGGTGGGAAGCTGAGGCTCCCAGAGATAGAGTCACTGGCCCTGGTCAAAACCTCACCTCCTCTTCAGGGAAGCCTTCTTTTTCCCAGCTCAGGTCCTTCTCTTACAGGCTCTCATTGTGTGCCTCCCCTTGGGGAGGCTGAGGCAGGAGGATGGCAAGTTCAAAGCCAACTTGGGCAATTGGCAAAACTGTCTCCAAATAAAAAGTAAATAAAAATAGATAGAAAAGAACTGCAGATACAGCTCAGTGCAAAGGGTCTGGGTTCAACCCCCAGTACCACCAAGAGTCAGAAGTGAAGTTGGGGCAAGGACAGGACAGGAGAGAAGGGGAGAAGAATGGGAAGAGGAGAGAAGAGGAGCGGGGAGGGGAAAGGAGGGGAGATTACCCTGTAAAATTCAGGAAACATTAAAGTCTCACGATTTCTCAATACCTGTATCAATGTTAACATGCTCCAAAAGAAAGACACAATCTTTAGCATTTCTCTAACTTATTTCCCCTGGAATTATTATTATCATTCTTCTTTTTTTTTTGAAGACAGGGTCTCACTGTGTAGTTTGGGCTGGCCTTAAGTTCACTATGTAGCCCAGGCTGGCCTCAAAACTTGCAGGGCTCCTCCTACCTCAGCCTCCTGAATGCTGGGGTTACAGGTGTGCGCCACCACGCCTGGCGACCCTGAAATTATTTAAAGGAGATTTTTCAAACACAAAAAAGCAGGGATGAAGCTGATCACCATTTCAATGACCTGCACAACACCCTGCCACACACCACCTGTAAACTGTTCAGTGGTGCCTGGTTCAACAACAAATTCTTGGTGCCTCACGCCCCACCTGGCGGTGTCAGGTCAGGAGACTTTCGGAACAAACAAGTGAACAAGAGGAAGTTGGTGTTCTGAGCTCCTGAGTTCGTTCACAGATTAATGACAATCAACAGCCATCTGAAGAATGGTTTTTATTTTTTGGTGCTGGGGATGGAACCCAGAGCCTCCCTTGTCTTAACTATGTAC